TGGGAACTCCTGTACCAGACTGGGCCTCGTAAGCCCTGGGAGTGCCTATCCAGCTTTTCCCACTTCCAGAGACATACCCCCAGCCATCTCTGGGGCATGTCTCTGCAAGTGGAAAAAGTTGGGGTTCCTTGCTTCTGGAGACTCATCCCTGGCATTGCTGGGGTGCATCTCTGGAAGCAGGGAAAGCTAGGACACTGGTGTGGTCCTAGGGCTGATTAGTAGCCCCAGCCCTAGACTGTACTGGCTTGTCCCAGCTTTCCCCACTTCTAGGGACATGTCTAAGATCTCTGGGGAATGTATCTGGAAACAGGGAAAGTTGGGGTTCCCTGTTTCCAGAGGCATGCCTCCAGCAATCTCCAGGGTTTCCCTGAGATTGCTGAGAGATGCATCTCTGGAAGCAGGGAACACGTTGCCTGTTGTCTCACAAGATTGATGGGCTATATGCATTGCGCCCAGTGAAATGGATCAGCTTGGCCAAGTTGCATCTGGCACAGCTGATCCACTTTGCTGGGCAATGTCTATTGCTAGCTCTAGTCTCCTCCTCAGAGCACCTCACTGCAGATTTCACTTCATTGTTTCCATCCTCTCTGGTCCTCCCCTTCCTGCCATTTCTTCTTACACCCTTATGGAGTAGGCAGGTCCTGAGGACTCCAGGCCCTATATTAAGCCTCAAGCCAGTGGGGAATTTTCCATCAGATTTCCAACAAAAATTCTGTCATCACAGAATCAGTTTATTGCTGGAAAATGTCCATGTGCCCTGCATATCATATCTTCCAGGCACCTCAGCCACCAGCCTGATGGGGGACTTGGCCATCAGGCATCCTTGGGCTCCCAAGTCCTCCTGTGTTGGCTGGTGGGAGCCTTAGAAATTCCAGGCCACCCAGCATTGTACAGCAGAGTCAGGGCAGGGCTCCCTGCCCAGTGATCAAGCAAAGGCACTCCCATTTGGTTCTCCAAAACAGAATTTTTTTGAGATTTTTTTCCTATTAAAATTCTAACCATTTTTTTTCCCCTTTAACCATTTTCTTAACTTGGGACAAAATTACAAATAAACAAAATACCACTTTTTCTCTTTTTGGAAGGCAAACTATTTTCTGGCCTGCTCTAATTAAATTATATTTCCCCATGTGAGAGAAGAACAAGGCAACACTTCTAATGTATCTGAATCAAATCCTGGGCCTGCCAGCCCTTTAGTACAGACCAGGGAGCTGCCTTCTAGCACTATGTGGGGTCTCTCTAGAGAGAGGCTGGGTCATAGAATAAGAGGGTGTGTATCTGAGTGTCCTTTTACCTCAGTCCCCATCACACATGCATGTACCACTTTTCCCCCATTTGCGGGCATTCAGTGTCATGACACCAGGCTGATACTGTATTTGAGCTCATGGAAGGCAGCACCAGGTGCAGGTCCCCCTTCAAAGGGAAACTTCCTGCTGAACCTTCAATTGGGTTTAAGAGAACATACCCCAGTTCTCCTGGAGGACAGTATTTGGAGATAATGCCTTAACTGGAAGCCCTTTCCTGTCTTCCCTCCAGGTTGCCCAATTCCAGACATGAAGAACATTCTTTCTTCTACAGCCTCCCGGGTGATTCCACTCATCAGCTGCTCCAGCCACACGATGACTGCCATCACCTGCAGGAACAACTCGTTGGCCTCCATCGTCCAGTGATGGGAAGCAAGGTGGGAGGCGCTGGCCTGGAAGCCAGGAGGGACCCCATGTTCCACACAGGTCAGTGAGCAAGAGAGCTTGGTGCATGCTGCTGCTTTTCTTGTTTAGGTTCACCTTGAAGGGAAAGTGTTGTTCTAGGTAGGCTGGTAGAGGGCAGTGGAGATGACGCATAGTCTTTTATAAAGCTGAGTTCTGATGTGCTGGCACTGCATCTTCATGCCACACCAGCCAGCCATGTGAAGAAGCCAGCTTAGCAGGTGGAACCATGAGACTGATCCAGATAAGGCCTGATGCAGAGGAAACTGGCCTGCTTGGGAGCAGGTACCCAGCCTGGGTGGGTGACACCAGAGCTGTGCAGTCAGCTGCTGCAGTGCCTTAGCCTGCCAGCACTCCCATAGTCCAGCCAGTCAGTCAGATGAGTGCAGAGGCAGGCGTGCATCTAAGTGCAGGACACCTGAAAGGTTAAATCAGTACGTTCCCCAGAAGGCTAGTCTGCCAAAACCATTCTCTTGTTAGGAAAAGCAGGCCCTGTGGTGTGAGGTGCCTCTGTGGGCCTGCTACCACAGAACAAGGGTGGGGAGGACCAAGCACTGTATTGGTTCCTCTTCAGCTAAAGCAAAGGTGGTTTGGATGCAGTGGAGCTCATAGCTAGTGAGTGTCCCTTGCCATCCCCTAGCACCTTTCTGTGCTGGTCAAAGCTTTGCTTTCTTTGTCACTGGCTCTTGTTCCCCTTCTTTTCTAGGTGCCCCATGCTGCCTGGGTCTGGTGCCAGTTGAAGAAGTAGAGAGGATAGGCTGCTGCCAGGCCAGAGGAGACCTACCTGTCCAGAACCCAGCGATCACTTGCCTGACCCAGGACCCAAGAAGGCATCTGTGCAGCAGCCCTCCCGCACATATGCCCATAGAGACTCCTCCTCCCACCAGTTAGGGACTGAGCTGCCTGTGCTAAAGACTTATTCTAAAGAGAGAGAATATGGGTATTTATTTTTGTATAACATCCCTATTTATATATTTATGCACTTGTAAATAGATGTATATGTGCCTTTTATAATGCTATGGAGATGGAAAGCATCCTGTTCCAGGTAGCAGGAGGGAATGAGAAACTGGGGCATCAGCCTGGGGTGAGGTGGGGCTGTTCATCAGAATACAGACTAAAAAGAGAAGCCTTCACTCGGCACGTTGGATGTTGCAGGATGTCAGTCCAAGCACAGTGGCGGCTTAGTGTCATCTTTGCAGCACAGACTGTGGCAAACTGAAAGCGGAGGCTATGGAAAAGGTCCCATCTCTTCCTACAGCAGGAAGAGCTGTTGTGGGGATGCGCCCGATAGAACAGATTGGAATTATGCACTGTACTTATTGCCATTCACAGCCCTTCACGTACACGCCGCCTGTGGTAGTGCATCTGTAAAGACAAACGCATGCTTTAACATCTACAATAAAGGCTTTAGTCTTTGCTGTGGTTTGATATTTGCTGAACCCTTTCTAGTGAGGCAGGCAACAAGACTCCATTGGACTTGCTGCTTTTTTTGAGTCCCTGGGTGGTTCCTCTTAGTCCATGATTCAGCAGAAGTGATCTGGCCTAATCCCTGCTCCAGCTGAGGTCAGGCATTGGAGAAGTAAGATTGGGACCTTGAGCTGACTGAGGCAGAGACTTCCCATCTTTAAATCCTTGGCTACAGCCACATAAGAACACGCCCCCCCCCACCCCCGTTTTCTGTCTTTTTCCATAGTCCAGAGGCTGCTAGAGTCTGGGCCTGTAGATGAAGGCATTTTCTTCAGTGGGATATGAGAGTGTACCTTCCAGGAGAAGGCTGCTAGGATGCAAACAGGCAGCCCTAGAAACCTCTGCTTGGTGTGAGTACCACAGCCTTTGGGATCTCTGCTGTTCATTTCCTCTTCCTGACTCCTGGGCTTTGCATTCGTTAGGTGGGAATCTTCCCTGGTGCATGAAGGTTCCCAAAGTCTTTCCTCTCCCGGTGGCTGCCGTCCAGTTTTTTGTCCTTTTCCCTGGCTTTCCCTCCAAAGCGAGTGTGGGTCCACAAGGTTGATCTTGGTTCAACTTAAGCTTAACTCACAAATAACAGCAACCTAGAAAAATTTACAAGAGGGGAAGAAAGAACTCATGGGGCATACACTCAGTTTACCCAGTTTAAAAAAGCCCTTGGTCTTGGATGGGCTATACCTACCTCATAGTGAAACCTCACCACTGAGGGATCTGTGCACAGGAAGGTGGAAGTAGTTCAGAGAACCACAATCCTGATCTACAGAAGGCAGAATAAAATAGCAGCCAGGTCACAAGCTGCAGCTCTCTCTTCATGCAGATTCCAGATCCCTGTGGTACTGAAAAGAAGCAGGCTTGCCCTGGACTCCTCTAAACAAGTTACTGCTCTTGTCTTTCATGTTTCTTCCTTCTCACTCCCCTCTACAGAATGAGCCTTTTGCTGTCTAAATGTGGGGCTGACCCATAAGGCTGGAAGGTTTCTCTCTGACCATGCCCCCAAACTGCCAGCCCTTTCTGATGGGCCTTTCTAATGCCACCAACTCAGAAGAACTGTTAACTAACTTCTAGGTATCAAAGCACCAAATTACAGTTCGGCAGAACAATTTTAAGAGGGTGATTCTCACCCATCAGAAATCAGTCCGGTAGTCATCCAGTCAACCACATCTTCACTAACATTGCTCACTAACTGCCTGCATACACATGTGCCCCTTTTAATTTTCTACTTAGAACTACCACATTTGAAAACAAGAAACATGAATGTAACTGACTGTACTTTACCACATTCTTTTCCTACTTACTACTTAACAATACCCCACTTCTGTGGATCATCCAACTAACTGTGCTTCTGTCTGTACAGCTGATGCAGTCAGCAAAGTCCTTCTTGTGTCTCTGTCAACCCACCTGCTATATAAAGTCCTTTTAGCCCTTCTTTTCCAGATTTGAATATAGAGGGTTAACATCTGCTCTCCGAGCTGCAGTCAGCAGACCGAGGCTTAATAAAATCCAAGGGCTGCAAGCTGAAGTCAGGAAAAAATCTCAGAAAAACAAATAAGATGCACATTTTTTTAAGTGAGGATGATTAAGCATCAAAATGGTTTCCCACGGGACATGGCAAAGCCTCCAGCTCTTGAAAACAGGATGGGATATATTTCCAAATATCACACTTTGGTGCAACTGCAAGCTGTGGAGTTGGATGCAGGGTAAGTCTACAGCCTTCATTCAAGCAGGAGGCCAGCTTGAGGTTCCCTTGATTCACATTTCAGCAATTTTACCCCCCTGGGTCCATCCTTTCTGCCCTCAAAAATCACCACATACAAAACCATCACAAAAGAGTGCAGAGTCCAGCCTGCTGCCAAATGTTTATTATCTACATTGTGATGCCAGCTTCAACACTGATTTCCCATGTGTAAAACTCAGGTCACCTCTCCTCATTCTTCCTCCATGTCCTTCTGCAAGACTGTGCAGGTAGAAACTGTTCCATGACGCTGAGTGAGAGGTGACAGAAAGCAAATTATGCATTAATGGGACATGCCAATTCGTGGGAATGCCAGCCAGCAAGGGAAAAGAAAGTAGGGTAAGAAAAAGAGACTGAGCTCTTCTCTAGTGTAAGATAGTTGGGAGCCATGCGCAGTTAGACACAATACCAGCATGTGGTCATGGCTGGTAATACAGCATATTTCTTGGGTTGCCAACAGTGCCTATATCTGTTGAGTCCTGCAAGAGCAGGCCTGATTGTCATGAACATAGTGATAAAAGCCATGGAAATACAGGAAGAGCCACTGCTGCAAGGATTCATGTATTGTATGTGTAGGGACTGCACCTAATTTACCTTATGGCAGCCTTGGTGCAGCTTGCCTCACTGTAGCCTTGGAGAGCACAGGATCCCATGCCTCATGCTCTTGCTGGCTTGACTGGAGGAAGAACATTGCATGCTGGGACCTGAAAGACTCAGGACCTTCTGTATTTAAACTGCCCTATCAAAGACTGGTAATGAGGCAGCCCAGATGGAGACTGAATCCTGGAGTTCTGCTTTGACCAACTGTGTTGCGAGGGATGGGTGCTGACTGCACACAGGCTTACACTAGCATCCAGGCTGGCAGGGACACAGAGAATGAATAAGGCTAGCACCAGAGGGAGACTTAATTCAGCATATCAGTGCTGGGGGGTGGTAGAGGTGGTGGGAAGATGCGCCCATCTTTTCTCCTTAAGAGAGTGATTTCCTCCTTCAGGACTTCTGCCTCTTGGGCCTGGAGCTGCACCAACATGATCAACCTCTCTCTGTCCTGGAGATCAGCTTTCTGGGGCCCCTCAAATTCTGCTCCCTGTTGGAAGAGGAAAAGGTGAGAGCTCCCTTTAAGTGCATGGGGAGACTGGACCCATTTCAGGTGGGAGAGTGAAGCTGTCCATTTGCTAACCCAAGCAACAGGCCAAGTTTATGCCTTCTCCACTGTCATCCTAACACAGAGGGAAGCCACTCAGCTAGTGAATGTTAATGTAGTCTCAGGCCTCTGATCAGGGTAGGAAAGACCAAAGGAAATCACATGCCTCACTTTTTCAGATCGCTCTGATTTACTGGAAGAGAAGCCTCATCCCTTTTAAGTAGATACAGGATGGTTTCATCACGATGAGTGAACAAGGAAAATTTGGGCATGGCTGCTCTAGCAGGAACTTGGGTGAGACTCATCTTGCGGTCATAAGAAGTGGAGCTGCCAGTCAACTTTACCAGTGCGTATTACTGACCAAGCCCATGGATGCCCACAGCAGAGCTGCAAGAGACCCAGTGGGAGTAAACCGATGCCCCCTCTTAGTGCACAGCCCCCAGCCAGCAGCAGGCAGGGCTGCACGGAAGCTTACCAGATTGCTCTGTAGTGCGTCCAGCTTGGTTTCAAGTCCCTGTCTTTCAAGGCAGAACCTGTTCATTTGCTGCAGCTTGCTGGTGTTTTCTTTCATCTTCATCATCAGACGTTGCCGCTGCTCCAAGATTTTTTCCTGGGGGACAGAGGGAAGGTGGAGGAAATTGGTGAGGAAGAGAAGGGGAGGATCAGAAGGTTTGAATGGGGGAAGAAGGCAAGAAAGCAGGGGGCTCTCATGCCTTGGAGGGTGCAGTAGGGTACACTTGAATCAGTTACAGCAGGGCTCAAGGAAAATAGTGAAGCTTTTCTGTCTTTAGATCCATGTAAATGGATTGGAACGTAGGTCCAAGAGTTGGGACCTGCAGCTCAGGGTGTGCAAAGGGCAAGCTCAGGCCTGCAGCAGCTGGTGCCAAGGGAGCTGGATAGAAAAATGGAGCAATGTGTTCATGCCAGGATTTCATTCTCATCACTCAGATCCACAGGGGGCTCTCAGCAGGTCCTAGTAACTACAAGCTCAACATGGGGGTTGCAAGGATGTTTTTTGAATGTGGGAATTAGCATCGTATGGCACCATGTCACAAGGGGCTCCTAGTTCATAATAAACCTGCTTCTGCTCCCAAAGTCAATAGCAAAAGCCCCCCTAGACCAGCTCCAGATCCAGGCTACACCAATGCAGACAATAAGTAAAGCAGCCCAATGGAGCTGAGCCCAGAGAGTCGCCTAAAGACAGTTTTGCAATGGGTGTCAGTGAGAACAGGTGACAAAGGGGCAGTAAGCATCAGGTACATGCATGCAGGCTTTGATGCTTTACTCTGGGAGAAATCCAAAACTCTGGACAAAGGACTTAAAAATAAAAATAAAAGCCAGGCAAAAATTGTGCATGTTTATCTGGGAGGTTTTCCACGTTTCATGTCTCCAATCAATCTTAAACTGGTTGCACATGTTTTCTACGTCTTTCATACTTCTAAAATGACGAGCAAGGCCCAGACTTTCAGGGGATACTAGAACCTTGCTTTTTCACAAGACAGTAAGTGGATCCTGGACAAGATAAACTCTGACATCTAAAGGCCAAGGGGTTAATAACAGAGACTGGCAGGGGGTTTCTTAGTCCAGGGGGTGGTTGCTATGGAATTAGCAGAAGCATCTTCCAAACAACTGTGCATTTTTTAAACTATCATTGTCTTGGGGTAGCACTTAGAAGCACAGAAAAGGAAGCACTATACCCCAAAGAACTTGCAATCAAAACTGCAAGTGGGATTTTCAAAGAAAACTTAGGTGCTGGACTCTTAACTGAAAGCTGATGAGACCAATGTCCTATACCTACCCAAGTCTGAAAGGAAGGGACCCCACCCACAGAAAACATGGCAGTGTGGCAAAAGCCTCTACTACAATGTACCATGTAGTCTGAGGATTGGGAGGAAAGGTTGAAAATCCTGGCATCACAGACTCCAATGCAGCTGTTTGGTCTCCAGGTTTCCTAACTGTAACTCGCTGGGGGAGTGCTCCATCCCTTTCTCTGTCTTGCTCCTTACCTCCCACATTTTCAGTTCCTGGGCTTTTCCTTCAACCTCTTCCCGCAGATCCATCATCTTCCTGTTTGTTTCCCTCTTCTGATATAGCTCTTCATAAAATCTTCTCGTTGCCTC